GTCCAAACCCAGGTGCTGACTTGGGTTTTTGGCGGCTGATGTCCTGCCAGCTTGCAGACATTGTCTTCTTACTGTGTCCCTGTGTGGTGGGAAGCCACCCAGTGGTGCTCTGGTGTCTTTTCTTATAGAGACACTGATCCTATCCTATCAGGGTCCCACCTGTTTTGGGAAAATCCATAACCCCCCAAAGTGAGAAGGAATGGAGAGACCAAAGAATGACTCCAACAAGACCAGCTTGGTGAGTTACATGAGCATTTTGGAGGTAACTTATGGGGCACTCGCTCCTAGGTGGCACAGGAGTTTCTCCCCCTGGTCTTCTTGCCAACAAAATCTGCATGGGCTGCCAGCCCTTTGTTGCCTTAAATCTATCCCAATGAGTGATGCAAAAGGTTTGTTTGTTTGCTGAGATAGAGTCTCACTCTTGCCTTGGGTAGGGTGCCATGATGTCATCGTAGCTAACAGCAACTCAAACTCTCGGGCTTGAGCAACTTTCTTGCCTCAGCCTCTCAAGTAGCTGGGACTACAGGTGCCCACCGCAATTCCCAGCTAGTGTTTTCTATTTTTCTTGCTCAGGCTGGTCTTGAGCTCCTGAGCTCAAGCAATCTACTTGCCCCAGCCTCCCAGAGTGCCAGGATTACAGGTGTGAGCCACAGTACCCAGTCAAGTGATGCAGAGCTTTTATATCCTGTCTTTGCTTGCTCACAGTGCAACATATCAGGCATGCACAGTGCCACGATTGTGCCCTGTCACACAACCCATGCTATGTCAATAACATAGCAATTCTCCACCAGGTCGGGGGAGCAAGGGGCACTGTAAGACACCAAAGCAGCTCTAATGCAGGTAAGGCCAGCCTGAGCTGCCGTTTCATGGCAGGAAAGTGCTGATGTCCCCAGAGAGCACTTGAAGAGGTTAATGTAACTCCATCTTGGAACTAACTCCCCACTCCCCTCTTAGACAAGGTTGCCCAGGTGGAATCAGTCTATCAGAAGGAGACTGGCTCCCTCCTCCGCATTTCTGGGTAACCAGTCTGAAGGGGACTGCCCCCCCCTACTTCTGCACTTCTGGGAAAGGTGGATCAGCCCAGGCGGAGCCAGACTATCAGAAGTAAAGAGGCAACCCTCCTCTAAAAAGTCTCTAACTGTAAACCCACGCTATAGCACCCCTGGCGTATCAGGTAGCACCCAGCACCCTTGGGCAACAGCTCAGCCAATGAATGACACCCCCTCCTGACTAACGTCAGATAGAATTCCCCTATGTGCCTTTAAAAACCTTCCCTCACTCCATTTCAGGGTCGCCCCTCCCAGCTACTCTGTAGAGTGACCCAGGCATATGCTTGCATTTTATTTATTTTATTTTATTTTATTTTTTTGAGACAGAGCCTCAAGCTGTCCCCCTGGGTAGAGTGCCGTGGCATTACAGCTCACAGCAACCTCCAACTCCTGGGCTCTAGC